AGAATTAACTATGTTGTGTCCATCAATAAATGATTTTTTGTCCTAGGAAACCAGAATTGTTTATCTGATTACTTTAGGCTAGACCTAGGGGTTGCGGCATTATCACACGGATAAAATCCATTGGTGATTTGGCGGGATTTGGACCCGGGACCTCTGGAACCGAGGCCCCGCGCTCTAACCACTAGACCAGCTCACTCTCCGAATAAATGGGATTAGAGAAGGATTCAGTGCTAATGCTTCGGACAGGTCAGCTAGTGCTTTAAATAATAGCATTCTAAAATTTCCAACCTAATTTACAAATATTTATAAAACGAGCCATTTCATAGGTTCAGTTAAATCGGACGATTAAAATTATGTAACCAGACACACCTGCCACGTTATATACCACAAATAAAAATCTTACTACTACCCTGGCATTATATTTTATAATATCCTCCATGATTAGATTTTTCCTGCTTAATTTTGCACGGAATACTATTGATTGATATTTTTGTTTCGCGATTGACCATACTATCCATGTGTATTGAAGATAATAATAGTAACAGACACTTTGATTGATCAATTGATATTTTTGTAAATCTAGAAATAGCTTTTTATCATTTCTTTATAAGTTTTTAATGAGCGTCGAGCGACGTTTCCATTTACAACATTCTTAACCCAACCCGATCAAAAACTAAATTTGAATAATTCTACCAAAATATTAGCAACGCTCACGCACAAAACAAATGATTAAAATCAATATTATGAAACACTGAATATTTGCACCACAAGGAATACGTCTTTTCTGACGTATTCAGTGCACATCCTCGACCGAGTTATGTATGTACTCTTGAGCGGCGTCTACGTGACGTCAAGGATTTGTTTGTACCTCTCTACTCAATCAGACATATCGTTAACGTAATCTAATCTCCTCTCTTTGAATTGTCTTCCTTCCATTGTATTGTATGTGGAATTTCCCTATTGGAAATGGCGAATTTGTAGATGTTGGGTAGTTTTGTGGAATTTTGTAATTTTTTTGTTTATTTAATTTGCTAATCTGAATTACAAGGGATATAACAGAGGTGACTGTGATATAACACACTGAATTTCAATGAAAATCGTTCTGGTCATTTTTAAGAGGATACAATTTTTTGTATCTTTTGGATTTTTATAGACAATTTACCATAAAACAATAAAAGTTTTTGAAAAAAAAATAATAAAAGATATTCTATGTCAAGTACCCACATGCAAATCAATTTATTAAAAAAATTTCTGCGGGTGCCACCCTGGAAATATACACTTGAACTAAAAAATTTGGAAGGGAATAATTTTTTTCCATATTGTATCCTATGTTTAAGGGGACTAAGTAAGAATATAAAATACGGTAGCACAATTACAACTATCAAGAATTGTTAGCATAGCAGAGACCCTACAAACATTGTAAGTAATAAAAGAAAACCTAAGGTAGTCATAAAATCCTGGCGAGTAAACGCAAAAGTAAGATTTGTCTAAGGCACGTTTCGCAATGACCCCGTGGAGAACCCGTTTTACTGCGAGGTTGACTCTTTTCAACGCGACATCAGAGGGAAGTTTTCCATTCCTACGGATGAAACTTTGTTTTAGACTCTCTGTCTAAAACTTATTATTCTAGTTCTACACAAAACCACAACCGATCTGCTCTTGTATTTGTCAAGTGATGGTAATTTGTTCCTGCAAATTGGTAACATAGCGTACGAAAAATTGGGGATACCATTTTTTGCAGTTACAATAACTTTAAGCAGAGGTCAGCAAATCTCTGAAGAGTGTCTATTTTTCCACCTAAATACCAATGGCCTAGTGAATAAACTGTACAAAACCATAACAAAATTTAAATGCCTATATAATTCGAAATGTCTTACTATTCATGCTAATTATGACAAAAGTCATGACCCCCCCCCCCATCTAATACTAGTCTTAGTATATAAACAGATATATCCTTTTGGTGGTTGTGCAATTTTAGCAGGGAGATTATGGGGGCAGCTTAAAACTGTTAAATGTAAACCACCTTCAAGTGACATCTCATTTTGAATTGTTTACATAAACTTAAGAATGTTAAAAACCAGAGTTCGCTATCTCTTCTCTATCCAAAATGGTAGCCAATATTACCATTATATTGATTTTTCTTTTTATTGTATTGACTTCAATACATCTGACGGGCTACCTTTATAAATAGAGAAGAGATTATATAATCTGATTTTCACAATTTTTTAAGTTTTTTTGAACATTTCAAAATATGGTGACACTTGAAGGGGCTTATAACATTAAAATCTTTGAGTTTCCCCCAAAACCCCCCAGTTTTGGGGGACACTCAAAATTTTCAAAATCATAAGTTAATTAATATTGCACGACCACCAACGGGATATCTGTATAAATAATTTACTTATAAAATTATTAAATGGGTGTTTGACTTTTTATTCACCCTGTACAATTTTATTCTCGGAATAAACCATGTTCTCTAGTTGTTGTTTCAAGTAATTGCATCTCTTGCCATAAGACTGTTAACAATGTTTGCATTATTGTGATTGGAGCCATCCGTTTTAAATAAATAAGTAAATTGTGCAGGGACACACACAGTGTTTGCTTGCTAGTATCCACGATACACGCTGTATAGGGACGCCTCGCGGACACAGAATGTTGTGTTGTATTGAATCGTTTTCCGATATCCTGTCTTACGTGACGCCAATTTCTATAACGTGTGGCGCCCGAGATACTATTTGCTCAAAAAATTCTTTTCACAAGGAACGCTATGTTAAATAGAAATTTAGGTTTGAGAATGTAGGATGAGTAAGTATTTGTAATAAGGAGACCAGTGAAGTCAACAGCTAAGGGTTTCCCGTGAATAAAATTAAAAGAAATACTAGAGATTCCATGTACCCACATACAAATCAATTCAATAACCATTTTTCAGAGGGTCCCAACATGAATACCAACACTCGAACTCAAAAATTTTGACCGGAACCATTTTTTCTCCAAATACTATAAGGGGACTGAGTAAAAACAGGATATACGGTAGTTAACAAAATCATAAGTTTTTCTCTCATTTCAGAAATTGTAGTCTCTGACCCTTTCCGAACTCTAATCCTACAAAGTTTTCTTTTGAGTGTGGAGGAAAGATTTTGATTGACGGTATTTTATAAAAATCCATTGTAGATCAGAAGGGTGTATACGAATTTGGAATCTGTCATGCATCAAAAAACATGCACAGCATTTTTAACTACCATCAACATAACACCAGTAGTACCCACAATCGCTGATGTATCATTTAAACTTAAAAAAATTATCAAAATAAATTCTGCCAAAAGTTGAACTTGTGAGAGAAAAATAATTGCTTAAATTATGAATTTAATACCTTGAGAGTAAAATTATTTTCTGAGTTCAAAAATTAATTGAAGAGTATTGAGAACATAAAAAATGCATCAAAATAATGTGTTGAATTGTTCCAATCTTAGTAAAATTGTTTTAACGTGAAAAAAGTAAAAATCTCCCGAAACAAAAACTGTCAATGAAAAAATCCAAAACTTCTTTCGAACATTTACACGTTTTAAAACTGCAATCCAATATATTGTTTTGAAAGGGTTTTAACCTAATCGTAAGTCATCTTTTTGCATCAATGTACACTATTTATATGTTATATTGTTTAAAATATATTTAAAGAAATTGATCCAGAACTGTGATATGTATGGTTTAACGGAAGGTAAAGGAAACCCGATGTAAATGTGTCCAGGTATGAGACACGTCTAGGTAACGTTCCCCAGAGAAGTACCCAGACTGTGGCCTCATAAACCTGCACTACGAGCCTCTCTATAACATTAACCAAATGCATTATTGTACTTTTCCAAATATTAATAATAATGGATAATTGTTTACTTTAGTTACGTTTTGTATATTGATATAAAAATCTTAGAATATGTAAGAAGCATGTTTAATAATTTGCTCATGCACTGAAAGAATTTGCTGAGATAAACTTTAAGACCTTAAGGAGTATTAGAATATACTACTTTTATGTGTATAAAGATTTTTACCAAATTAACCAAATAATGGAATTGCATGTGATTTATGACACAAATGTATGTGGTTGTGTGAATGAAACAAAAAAAGACTGCCTTAAATTTAATTAACGTTTACAGTTAGTAAATCTTGTTTAAAATTATTATGACTAACTTGACTATCAAACGGTTTAGAAGAGGGGCATCATTTTAGCGAATAACCTATAGAGGATAAGTTATTACTAAAGAAGGTATTATCATGGTAAGAGCTGGACTCATGACCGAACTATTTTTTGTTTTGATGTCCCCATTGTGCAAAAACACCATCCGTTTTTATACCTATAATATGTCCGTTAGCACGAAAACTCGAGTAAAAATTATCCAATATTGATGAAATATGATGAAATGTTATAAACACGTAAACCTCCTTTTATTCGAACGAGTTCTCGAACCAGCATGACTGGACAATGGGAACGGGGTCTTACAAAGAGATAAGGGGATATTTTTATGGGATGGTTATTATTTTTTATCCTCAAAACATAAAATTTGCCAACTTATATCTAAACCATTTTTAGAGCTTAAATAATTTAGTAGACCCAATGTTAAAACTCTGTTGTACGCTTGATGGTTACGGAAAATTTTTCATAAAGGGGGGTAGTCTTGATAAAATGTCTTAGTGAAAATCCAATAAGGGAAATCTAAATTCGTTTAGTCCGCAGGCTGCTGCTGATGGGGTGTTTTATTACCTCAACTGCCACTGTGTCATTTGTATGTCAGGAGATCTGAAGACCAAAGATAACCATAAACCATAACCATGGTGATGGGTCACGAGGGTGCAAACGGCCGGTGTGAAATCAACTACTGTACATGCCTATCAATCTAGGACGCGACAACTGACCTGCCCTGTTCGATAAACATTGTTTTTCTAATCTACTAAATATTTGTAAGTGGCTAATCAATTATACGTTTTGATTGTTTAACATTTTCGTTTTTCAGATGCGTATTGGTAATGATGTGAACGACCAAGCGCTGGGCTAGGATGATACCTCTGCAATACATATTTGGCGTACTACTCGCTGCAGCACTAGTCGCACAATCTGGTGAGTAATTAGCAATTTCACGAATTTTGGTAAGTTAATCAAAGATGTTTATAGAAAGTGTGTAAATATGGCTTTAATACTCGTTGCTTAAGCTATTCAAACAGCAAATACACTTAAAGTGTGTAAAACAAGTATTTTTGGAAATGAATATGCCTACTCCTCCAATCAGTTTATGTTCCATAAGATGATTCATGACATTGCATAATGACTGAAATAGGTTGGTAAAGTTCGTTGCTAGTTAAGGCTTGAATAATTGTTTTTAAATTAAATGTTTTACACTCGCACTTTAAAAAGTAGCAATAAGTAAAAAGCAAAGACTTAAATATAAACGGGATGCTCGATAAAATTATTTCAATATTACGTAGTACTAATTTTTTTTTATGTAGCGAAAACTGCAGCGCTGTTGCGATTCTGAGTAATAGAAGAGTTACATATTTTAGTTACAGTTAGTTTTTAGTTACATATTTTAAAAGAAAAATACAAATATTATTGCATAGTTATCAGAATATTTTTGAGTTTCATTCAATTCATTTTTATGTTGGTGGAGTGAAACTTGTTACTTCTAAATAATGGTAACGGTTGTACACATGCAATAGTAAAACAATAGTAAATAGCTTAAGAGATAACTTGCAAAGGTGAACGATGTACAAAAATATTGTCACTTTAAGCTGGTTACTATTTTGATTGTGTTTAAAGGTGTTGAATAAATAGGTCAAACAAAAGTGCAGATATTGTTTGGACATTTAATTTCATCTTGCAGAAACTATTTTTTTACATTACTTAAAAAAATCTGGTTGTCCATCCACTTAAACAATTTATTGCCTTATACTTAATTTGTTAATATACCTCAAATTTGTCTGGTTATGATTTCACTCTAAGTGTAACTAGATTAAATTCGTTTTTGAGGTAATAACTATGAAATATTCATTTCTATATTTACCAATGGTGAGCTTTGGTAACTGTAAGACGTATTAAAGCCAGCTGGAATTTCTCTTAAGTATTAACTGAATCCTATGAAGCTGGGACCGATGCTACCCTCCTAATAAAACACAACTGTGGCTGCGCTTAAATTACAACACCAGATGGCAAAGAGCGGTTTATCAGACGCGTCTGGCAGCGATCCTTCATCCTTCATCCTTCATTTGATGATTGAAAAATGAAAAAGATTCTTAAGTATACATTTCATTGGTCTATTAAGTGTGTTCACATTGGTAAACATTAAAGCAAAGTTTTTGGCCGTTGAAACTCACAAGAGACAAATAATAGCCCCCTAGAATGTCAAATTAAATTAAAGTCAAGTTCTTTAGCTGCAATATAAAAATAATATAAAACTATTATACAGACTATACCTCCAACAAAGTAAATAAGTAAGGATACTGAATGGGTGTGTTTAGCTAACAGGTTAGTCATTGGACTTCGGTGCGAGAAGGGCGGGTTCGATTCACGGCATATACAAAATCTTGTGGAAAAATGTACTACTTTCCCTGTGTTCGATTTTCCTCCATGCAAATTTCTATTGGTGTAAATACCATGAAATAATATTTAAACACATAACTTACGTCTTACGTCATACTGATGCAAAAACAGCCGTGTTTAACGGAATGCGTTACGAGTTTAGATTAGGTATTTTACTCCCTAGGGAGTAATCGCCTTTTTAGTCCCCAGGGAGTAAAAGTCAACTGTTGTAAAATTTCGATTGCAAGAAAGCGCATGGATCGACATTATTTATCAATTGATTAGGTTATGTTTTTCTTATTGTTACATTCTTTTCAATAGTTCGACATGTCGATGGTATAATGTACACAATCGTAATAGACGAAATTATTTAATCACTTACTAAACAGCTGCTTATTAACATTAGCAGTATTATTGAAAACAGCTGAAAATTGTTTTGAGAGGTTATCTTTACATGAAATGTATTTTATTTTTCTAGCTCAGTTTGTTAATTAATTATGCGATACGACGAATATATAGTTCAGCACACGGGAAAAAAGTATATTTTTAAACCTTGCTCATTTTCCGAATCTGAAACTTAAGCTCGGGTCAAAAAGAGTCAATTTTCGCTACACTACTGTGAAATGACCTGTTTTCGTTTCATGTTTATCACCTGCGAAAATTAATTCATCATTACATTGTTTACTACGACAAAATAATGTTTCCTATGCGAAAGTTATGTTTACTATCTTTTTTGGATTTAGCCGACGTAAACAAAAAAGATTTGTAATAGTTTTTTTTTCAATTGTTTTAATTTTCAACTACCAAAACTGTACAACCAAAGTAAATATTACCTTAAATTTAAGTTACAGGCCTTACATGAAAAATGCTATGACATTTTTTTCAACAAAATAATTAGTTTTTGTAGTGTAGATTCAAAGATTTTATTAGGCCATTAAGTTTGTACAATAGGCTACGTCAAAGTACAATAAAAATGCAATAAAACTAAATATAAAAAGTAAAACAACCAGACAAAACTGAAAGTCCAAACAGCAAACCATGCAAAGGTAAATAAAAATTAGGCATACCTTTTTGTAGTGTAGCGAAAAGTAACTTTCAAAACACGAGTGAAAGTGGGTCTATACAAATTTTCGAGCATTTAAAGTGCTCAATAAATCTCGCACTTCAAACATGATATCAAATATGTAATAACTCACTTTCTACTCTAGTTATGAAATATACGTCATAGTGATGAAATATACTATTCTACTATTCTTACAAGTAAGTGCCTAGTATTAATCCTACTTACATGTTGATTGTTTATACGTTTAAAAACAATCCTTAGCTTTTCACTTTTTCCCCTGCAAAAAAAAAATAAACACGTTGCATTTTGTCAGCAGCAGGCGCGGCTGTTAACAGCTTCATAACAGCAACAAGAGCGTATCAATCGCGAGTTTATTGTCCATTTATCTCGGTCAATAGCACATGCTGGCCACCTGCTGCCTGTCTTCAGCTACGTCAACTCTGTAACAAGACCTCATCAAATGTTTATGGTCAATTATTGCGTGATTTACTACCACTTCTTCTGTCACTAGGTGCAACTATAAATGGATAGGTGAATAAAATAGGTATCAGCAAACTGACTACTTTATTTCAAAAAGCTCAACAACCCTTATAATGGGTAAGTGGTAGAAGTGACTTTGTTATTTTAAGGGTAAAGTAAAATATTACAATAACTTTTGAACGGTAGATTTATAGGATTGGGGTTGTACCATTTTTCAGGTAATGTATGTTTGAAGAAGGATATTAAAGCATTTAATCTTTTTATAATAATACTAAATGTAATGAGGAGAACATATAATTAGGGTTTGTCATTTAAAACAATTCTCGGTCAACAATTCGTTTTACAGTTTTGAGGGTTATATTAAGTAGAAATATGTCGATGGCTCTCGAGGCAATACACTTACCAGCGGGCCGGGCTGTTAGAGGGTAAGCTGTGTTATGATCAATCTCATGGCGAGATTTAGTGTCAGACGTGAAATACTTCTTAGTCTGTAGAGTTATTTGCTCTTTCAGTGCTATTATCTTAAAGAAATAGAATGGGCCAATTATATATACAGTAAATTGCTCTGGCTTTCCCCCTCGTAAGATTCATTAGTTTAGATTTTTTGTCAGCAATATTATTTTTTGTGCTATAATAGAGCCAAAAGATACAAACTAAAGAAAAATAACGTTATTAATATACTATCAGAGTACCCGCCCTTCGTACAGGGTTGGCGTATAAGTATAAAATGCTTATTGTAGTTATACTCGTGCGTTGCGTTTGCAATGGGAGAGGACACGTTTTAATAAAATTTGGTTTACTATAACTTACGGCGTACTATAGGATAGCACATCTACCATAGTCATAATGTTCTACCATTGCACCTAAGCAATGGAAAAAAGTAAAGTACCTACAATTTTTTGTTGCTGCTTGGTTCAAATAAGCTTTTATCGTAAATGCAAAAAGAATTAGTAGTACTACACCCTGTCGATAAACCTTATAATCTTTTAATGCTATTAAATAGCATAGAACCAACTTGTGTTGTTGAAACAGCTGGCAAAATTATTTGATTCCTTTTAACTATAAATACTCATAAGGTTAACATGGGGAACTCTAGAGCAACTGGGGCGGAGCCCGAAAGGAATTTTGAGATAATAATATGTCTATATAATGTGAGCTATCATCATGCCAAATTTCAACCCAGTCCGACCAGTTGTTAATGAGTGAATGAACTTCAAACAAACCAAGAAACAAACAAACAAACAAACAAACTTTTACATTTATAATATTAGTAAGATAAGTAACCCTGGTAGTTAATATGGAATTGGAACGTTGTGCCCTAAACATAATTTCTAACTTCCAACCGAATTTTACTGAACATGATAAATTCTCTGAAATTAGTGTTTGAAACTGCGATAAAACACATTTGTCTTTAATTAAATATACGACATAATACAGTATAAAATTATAGGCCAAGTTCAAATATAATTCCTCTAAAAATAAATAAATCTACTGAATAAATGTTGACACAAGACAATCATCAGAATTCTTAGCTATTTTGAAAGCTTAGTATTAGGTTTAACATAGGCCTCTGTTGCCTAGGCATTTCCCTCAGTAAAACTGACAACTAAACAATGTAACTGTTGTGGTTAGCATTTAAACCATAAAGAGCATTTAGATGGTTTTGCAGTTCATTAAATTGTTCTCCTGCTAAATACCTTTATTTCCTAAATGCTGTGCAGTTGTGAGAGTTTCAAAGTCGGGACGAAACTAGCCACCATGTAAAGTGGTTTTCGGCGTCGGCGACTGCGACTGAGAATCGAAAAATATATTATCTTGTTGTCTCTGCTTGGGACGTGCTTCGTTTACAAAGAGCGGCGATCTCTTTGAAAATATTGCTTCAAGTTTACATCTTCTTTCTACAGAAAAGTTCCCTTCCTGTTAAGTTCGTTTTCAAAGAGACGGAGATTCTTGTTCGTAATAGAAAAGGCCTGAAGAAAATGTGTTATAATGATTAAATCGC